AAATCCCGATGCAGGTGGAACTGTCGTCTCCTAAGAGGCAGCTGGGGGGAGGGGTGCATAGCGTGACTCTTGTCCACCCAAAGTCTCGATGGGCAGGGTTGGGGGGAGAAGATACAGACACTCTGGTGAAAGTGTAAAGTCCCAGATGCCCAACTCTGCCTGGTTCACTGGTCCCCAAACCTACAGCTTCCCTTGCTCACCTCCCTCCTTGGGAATGGCCCTACTTCCATGCTAAACCAGGTGCCCAAACTTCAGATCCAGGCCAAGCCCTTGAGCTTGTCGTTGCCCCTCATCCTAGTGCAAACTCAGTGTGGTTAAGTGTTCCACCCCAGGTCATCTAGTGGGGAAGCATCAGAGGCTGCTGGACCCTCTCCCCTCCCCTTATGCCTTTAGTTCACAAATGCCTCAAAGACCCCATCACCACCACTCCCAGACACTCACATGACCTGCTTTTCCTGCAGGTTAATAGGAGGCATGGCTCGGAGACCAGGCTTGTTTGTTGAAGTACCATCACCCGAGCAGAGGGGGTCTGGGACCAGGAGCCCATTGAGATCTCCATTGTAGGCATTAGATGGTCGCTGGCTCTCTGCACTGGGACCTAGAGACAGAAAGGGCCACTCTGATGAAGTTATTCCACCTGCCCACTGGCCTCTCCTCCTGCAGAGCTTCACTCAAGAACCATGAGGTGCTCTAGGAACACTCAACAAGGCTTGTCAGTGGGGAGGAGGGCCCTTTGTTCAACCTTTATTCCATAAACACTGATGGTGAACCTAATGCATGCTAGGACCAAGGATGAGCATGAAGCTCTTCTACCTGGGGGAAGGGTATAAGAATGCTCTGAGTCCAATTAATACTCAGGCCTCGGTCGGTACAGAGGGACTCTGTGTACTTGAAGGAGGGCATGGGAAGGGTCAGGACAGACTTTACAGAGGAGGTACCATCAGAGCCAGCGTGGCTAGAACACACAAACACGGGAAGGATGGAGGGAAAACAAGGCTGCAGAGGTCTCAGGTATGAGGCTAGGGTGCTTAGATTTTCCCTGTGGTAATGAGAGCCACAAAAGTTTTAAATAGGAAAGTGACATGATCTGCTATGGCCAGAGGACTGACTGCTCTAAAGTAGCATGCAGGATAGTTGAGAATCCAGGTGAGAGATACCAGGGCCTACATCGGTGGGCTTCTAAGGCATGGAAAAACATGATAAGATGTGGAAGTAAGAAAGGAAGGAGACTGCCTGACACGGAAATGGCTCAGAAGAAGCCACCCTGGAGGAATGGACATGAAGGAGTTGGACAAAGAGTAGAGAAATTATGGGGTAGGGTGTGTAATCAGGAAAGACAGCCTTTCAGTTGTTTACATTGGCTGTGTTTCAAGCACCCTCATAGGTTCAGACACTACTCCAAAACTCCCAGGTAGCAAGGAGAGTAGGGCCTCATATTCAAGGAATATGACAAGTTTCTAGTCACAAAACTGCCTGGGGTCTCACATGGTCCTCCAGTGAGAGGAGACAAGCAAGGGCTACTTGGCAAACAGGGGAATCAAGTACCAGTCAGTAAGCAAAGAGTTAAGAGGACCACCTCACTTGCCTCAGAGCCACCTTAGCTGCTCAGGGGTAAGCTGACCACTCTCCTTTCCAGGCAGGCTACCATGAGAACAAACAAACAAGCTACACATTACCCATGCCAGGCTCTACCAAACCTTTGTGAAGACTAGTTTGCTAGCAGCTAATAAGCATGAGAGGGCCAAGCCAAGCCCATGAGTCCAAGGAGCACACACTCCAGGCCTGGGGAAAAGGGCTTGGTGGTTCCAGGCAGCAGACAGATTTTCTCAGAGATTAGAGGTTAGCTAAACCCAGGAGTGAGCACCAGTGCCTGCTTCCAAAGGGAGCCAGTTTGGGCTTTCCAGCAGGTTTCAGAACAGGGTCTGAGGAAACACCAATTCTCAGCTCTGGCCACTGCACATCCACACCTCCATTACCAGCCAGTCTCTCAACCACTACAACATTTCACAGGTCCCTGAACCTGCCATGAAACTTTGGTACTTTCACATATGCTATTTCCTCTTTGCAGAATGTCTTTCCTGACATCCAAGCCCGTCTCCATATTATAAGACCTAGCCTAAACATTGCTCTTCTCTCAGATCTGTTCTCAGGCATTCTCCAGCCCCCACCCCACCCACCCTATCCCCATCACAGTGCCAAACACTTCTCTCTTTCAATGAGAAGAGCATTATATTACACCTTGTTAGCTCTGTGTCCTAGGAGCTCACTGAGGGCAGGAGCAGCTGAGGTACCACTGCAGACCCAAGAAAAGTTTAAACGAATGGACGTAAACTAGGGCTTGCAAGATGTTTGTAGATCCAATCAGGACTGTGCAGTCTGTGATTTGCCTTAAACCCAAAGAGGACACGGAATTGGGGGTGGTCACCGTCGTCCTGAAAATCAGTTTCAGAATCGCATGCCTAGAGTCTGTATTCCAGAAGGAAGGGCAAGTTGCATAGGAGATCAGCGGCTCTTCATTACAGCGCCTAGGTCTAGATCCAGAGCTCCGCATACAGAGCCCAGACGAGGCCTCTGAACTATGCCAAAAGGGTAGGGAACCCGGGCCAGTCCCAGGAACACTAGAGACGTTGCGGCCAGGACACCTGGTGGGCTCTGCGAATTCAGAGAAGGTGCCTCACCTTCAGCCGAGACGCTGAAGGACGAGGCAGAACGGCCCGGCTCCGGGATGGGGCAGGATCGCACCCAGGGGTCTGCGCCCTTCAGCAAGCACGCTCAGGGATTTGCCGCTCCAACCCTCGTCTGCCCTCACCAGCCGGGAGGATGCAGAGCCGGTCCTGAGTGACCCGAGGGCCATGAGGGTGGCCGAGGCCCGCACCGCCCTTCTGCCCGCTCACCAAGGACCCACCCCCCACCGTTCCGGCTCACCCCCCGCGGGCCGGTCCAGCTTGAGGATGTCCCGCAGGTGCTGCGTGGCGTCCTCGATGTCGATGCTCGCGCAGGAGGAGGCCATGGGCCCAGCCGCGGGCGCCCGGGTCCGCGCCGCGTTCGTTCGCCGCCGCCGCGCACCGTCCAGCTGAGCACTACCCCGCCAGGACCAGACAGTGGGACCAGTCACTACACTCTGTCCACCCAAAGCTAGAAAACCGCCACCCGCGCCGCGTCCCTGAGCCCCGCCAACCCCACCAACCGCCTCCACTTCCGGCCCGCCCCAGACTCGGCTCCCGGAACCTGAGCAGAGCGGAGAAGAAAGGTTCCGGGCTGGGGGTCGGACGCTTCGCCCCTCCCGGAGCCCGCCCCTACCGCGGTCCTGCCCCTGCGCTAGTAGGGTCTGGGGAGTTCCTTGAGGCTGAGGCAGAGCAAATGTCCACCTACTGGACCGCCCAAAGCGCCCTACTTGCCTCAGGATATCCCGCCCGGTCCATGTCCACTCCCAAAGCATGGGCTCATGGTGGGCCTAGGACCGGGTCAATTTGGTTGCCCAAGCTGAATCCCTCAGATGCCCCAGGAGCAAGCTAAATTGGTAGGAGCCTCGGTTTCCCCTTTGGGAAGTGGGTCAGTGTAACCCAAGACCTGAGGGGACCCGTGAAGTCACGGACCCAGGAATTGCAAGGGCAGAGGAGATGGTCCCACCACAAACATCCCATTGTTCCCTAACGTCTCCCAGCATCCCCCTGCATGACCTGGCACCCTCAGGCAAAAAGAAAGGAACCATAGTTTACAAACACCTCTTTATTGCAGACATTTCAGGCACAGATACATGGAAAAGCTGTATTGCAGATTTTATACAGGGTGGTTTAAGAGGCAGCAGGTTTCTACCTCTCTCCCCAACCTCCACCCCCCAAATACACAGCAGCCAAGAAATCAGCCCCATTGAAATCTCCTGAGTATGCTGTCCTTTCAAACAGCACATCATCCAGCCCAGTGCCCAGTGTAGCCAGGCAACCAGTGGGGGGTCTGAGGAAGTCCTTGGCTTCCATCCATAGTGCAGGAGGGAAGGGGGCTGTGCAGGTCAGGCAAAGCTGTGGTGCCCTCACCAATCCTAAAACCCCTAACAGGGCATCAGCCCAAGTCCTGGGTTTGGTTCTAGCCTGTGGTTGCTACCTTGCCACGAGTTTTACACCACCAAGGTCTCAGGGCTCAAGGGCTAGATTTGTACTAGGCAAGGCTTGTCCCCAAAACTGAAGAGCAGAAACTGCCCCAACAGCTGAGACTTCCCGGGATTTGAAGATAGTGTGAAGGTGTGTGTGTGTGGTCAGGGAGGGAAATGGAGGAGGCCTAGAGATGCCTTGCAGAGGTCTCAGGGGTGAGAAATCCTAGAACCTAAATCCCTCAAACTCAGAATGCTTTCTTTCGTAGTTCTAAATCTATACTCCAACCCAACCGGGCCTGGCTCCATGGGCATTGGAGGCTGGCTGTTCGAGTTACTCCCCTTTGGGTATGATATCCACAGCAGATGGTACAGCATCAGAGCTGCCCTCTGCTTGGCTTGGGATTTACGGGGCACACTGGATGTGATCCTGACCCTTCTGTGGATAGAACAGGCCCTTTTCCCTCAAACCTCTGCTCATACTTGGCCTTGCTGAGCCCTCAGTTCAGAGGGCCTGAAGCTAATGGGCCATTTTTGCCAAGGCTTTTCCATCTTCGGTGGGGTTCTGGGTCATCTCACATGTTATTAGAGCTTTGACCCTACCCAGCGTAGACGTCACAGGAGGTGTCAGAACTGACTGCAGAGGCTTCAGCGCAAGGGAAGCTTCAGGTCAGACCTGAGCTCTGCCTGTCTGCAGCTCACTTTCCCAAGACCAGGTGGGCCATGGAGGGAACACTATGCCCTACAGGGCTTCTGAGAGAAGCCAGCTGAGAGTGCTGCTTCAGCGTTTTCTCCTTGCAACAGGTATCGCTGAAGTGGGGCAGAGGTGGGAGGGTGAGACATGAGAGAGCCAAGGAGGCAGGGTAGTTACTGATGCCCAGCCAACTATTAAACTAATTAAAACAATTTAAACTGTTAAGAAAATTTTTGTGGTTTTATTGTATCATGAGGCATTGAAACATCTGAACAAATCAATATCTCGGTGGTGAGGCAGCTGCTTTCTCCTTCACTTCTTTGGGTTACTAGAGCAACTTGTCAGTAGATTAAAAAAAAAAAAAAAAAAAGACAACCTTTCGCATTACTTAAGTCTTTCCAAGGCATGCGCTGGTACAACACAAACTTCTCCCATCAGATGCAACTAGTCTAGCGTCCAAACATCATGCACAATACCTCGGCAGCAGTAGCGCACTGCGCCCACTCCCACCGCGGCCCTGCTCATTTGTGTATGATATTTGGAGCATCTGGAGGAGCATGAATAATATCGGGAAGAGGAGGGAGGAGGAAACAGCATGAGTGCCTGGCTGGGAGGAGGTCAGCCGAAGTTGTGCAGGGCAAGCCTGAACATGTCATTGGTGCAAACCCAAGCATCATTGATGTTCTTTAATAGGAACATCTGGTGGAACCCCATGATGGGGTCTTCATCGGCCTGTGAGGAGAGAGAAAATGGTTCAGTAAGGTGGCCAAGGAACAGGAAGGGTGTTCAGCAGGAGGTGAACGCTGACTTTGGGATCAGGCCCTACAATTTGGACGCAAATCCTAGGAGAGCTAAGGGGTACTTGTGACTGAATTGACACAATGTATGAAACACTAAACTGGGCACTAAACTGGGCCTTGAGATGGCAGCTCACACTGCTATGTACACAAACTGCAGAACAACTCACCAGTTAGCTACAGCAACAGAGCAGAGAACGTACATGCCTCTGAACCCATGTTTCTGGGCACAAATGATCAATTTGAAAGAGTTCTGCAGCACTTACCATGTAACTCACAGTAATCTGAAAACTAAACAATCTTAGTGTCTGATTATGCCAGTTAGTCCAACCAGGAGAAGGTACTACTAATACTGACTATGGCCAAGTACATGAGAAAAGGCTCAAAACCAAGCTCACACTGATTACAGCTCTACAGGGGAAAAAAACCAATGCAGCACTATCAAGTAATCTGTTTCTTGTCACGTAACATATTTGCAACGAAAAAAGAAAGGCGAGAGACTTCCACCCAAACTGCAGAATACCCAGATGAGGCCTAGTTGAGGTAGGAGCCCAGCCAACCAACAGTGTTTCTAATATCACTGTTTTTTCTAGGAATTATCATCAGCAAGGAGGCAAATCAGTCTTTTGGGGGTTGGACAAAAACACCAGAAAGAACCTGAAGCCAGGTGGGAAGAGGCACTGCTAACTGATTCCAGCCTGGGAAAGTGGGCACTAAGACCCCAGGAGAGAGCTCCTCACTCCCAAGGCCTATTTGAGCACACTCTCTGGGCACGGTATCTTGGACAGGCAGGAGAAACTAACAGGAAAGAACAGGCCAGAAGGCAGGTCCGTCTGGGTCCACTGGAGAGGCCTAGCCCCCCCCCACTTTCTTCCACCCTTGTAACGGACTCAAGAAGCCCTGCCTAGCCTAGGGAGAAGGCATGTGGGCCTGTTATTCTGGGCCCCATGACGCCACAGGCCCAGGAGGTTGGAACCTGGTTAAGGGGCAGCTCATTTGTCCTGCTTTGGGAAGGAGGAGAGGCTTTTTTTTGGAAATCAAGAATCTGGCTTCAGCCTGTTAGAGCATAACAAGGAGTTCCTGGGGGGTACGGGACCACAGGAAGGCTTTGAAGGTAACAGGTCTTGAGAAGTGGAAGGAGAACTGCAAAGAGAAGCAAGAGTTTCAGGAATCTGCTTTGCTCAGCAGGTGGAAGGATCAGCAGCCAGCTTGGGGAGTGGCAGCATGGACTCCAGCTCAGAATCAGCTGCCTACAGAAGGCCCACCTACACCTTGGGGCAGTGCAAAGGCCCAGTGGCTTGGATCACAGCCCCATCCTGCTCCTATACCTCTTGTCCCTTTTCCAAAAATGCTCTATACGAGTGCTCTCCAATAGGACTTGTTGCAATAACAGAAATGTTCTATGTTTGTGCTGTCCAATAGGCAGCCACAAGCACTTGAAGTATGACTAATGCAACTGAGGAACTACATTTTAATTTTATTTCACTTTACTTAATGTAATTTAAAAATCACCACATGTGGCTGATGGCTGTTGTACTGAGCTACACAGCTCTAGGCATCACTTTGGGTGTCCCCTGAGAAGCAGGACAGCAGCACTATTACCTTGAGCTGGCCCACAACCATGCTGATGATGCAGCTATCTGGCGTGGGCTGATGGTCCTGCGCCGTGATGCTATGCTGGATTTTCTGGAACGGAAGGCTCTGCAAAGGAAAGAGTGGGTGGTGGGCTGTGGCCAGTGGGGTGGGGAAGGAGCTGCCTGCAGCCCAGCCCTGGCCCTTACTTACAGACAATTTCTCCACAATGGCAGCTTTCCCCTGGAATTGCTGTCCTTCCCACGTAAGGCATGACGCGTCAATCTGAAAACCAGGAAACCTGGGGTCAGGGCTTCAGAGCACAAGGAGTATCTCTGAGGCCCTGAAAGGACCCTGAAAAGGGTCTTGCTTGGGGAAATTAGTTCATGTCTTAGTTTCCCTGCCTGTAAAGAAGGAAAATGAGGGTAACTTCCAAACTTTACAGGATGAACAACTTCTTTAATTACACCCCAGCACTGCAGAACCCAAGCTCTGAAAGACTATGTAACAAAATACAAACTTATTAATAAGTTCACTTCCCACCTTTTATTCAAGAAGTTGTATGGCCTTTGATATGCATGAGCTCCAGGCTGGCTATATGTGGCCAGGGCTCAGTCAAAAGCCATCCTGCTGCATGGTCAGTCAGCACCAGTCCCAGAAAAGCCATCAGTGAGTTCCAAAGAGGTCCTTCCCATGGGGTCAGAGAGGAATGGAGGCTGACAAGGCCTTGCCTGGGACCCTCCCTACCATCAACATGTAACCCACTACCTTCACTTCTTCCCCGCCCCATCTCTCCTGCCACAGCCTTCAGGGGCAGAACTCAAAAGTGCCTCTGCTACTTACCAGCTCTGACATTAAGCAAGCTACTTTTTTTTTCTCCCCCTGAGTCTCAGTTTCCTGATCTTTAAAAGGAACATGTGCTGAGGTTTATATAAAATGACATACATAAAGTACTCTTTTAGGACCTTGCTAACTCTTCTCTGGGTCAGGCCTGCTTTAATTGATTTTAAAAGCAATATGGTAGAAGTGCCAAGGATCCCAGAGTCATACCAGTTTGAGTTTTTAAAATTCTCTACCTATGATAATGACAATCAAATACCTGTGCTGGATTTGTCCTTCCACTGGTAAGATCCTTTTCTTTTCTTCAAAATTTCTGAACTGGCCCTGACTTTTTGGAGGGAGACACAAAGGAGTTTGCCCACAGCCCAGTCAGGCTGCAAGGCTATGCTGGATGACTCCTACCTCTCCTATCCTAGGCAGACCTGCTAGGCGTGGCCTGATCAATCACATTTCTGTCTTGGGCAGGGTCAAATACAATTAACTCTTGGTATATATGAACATCACTAAAATAGCAGCAAATCATACCTGCATAGAAGGGTTTCTCAAGACACACCAACCTCCCTGGACTAACCCCATTTGTTTCCCATGAGCATTCAGCGGCTTTTGGCCCCCCAAAGGAAGGTGGACCTGGGGCCTCCAGGAGAGACCAGTGGGGCACTGATGATGCTCATACCTGCTGCCTCCAGAGGGCACCATGAGCCGTAGCCTCTGTCTGCTGCTGCCCAAACTAGAACAGAGGCACTCCCAGGACCATGGAATGGCAAGCCCAGAACCTGCTGCCTAGGGTATCAGAATCCAGTCTTATAGATGACAGAAAGGAATGTGTGGACCAGGGAGTTGGGCTAGGCCTTAAGCCCCCTGTGCCATGGAGAGTAGCTCAGATAAAAGGGGACAGCCAAATTCAGTGAGGGCTGCCAGAACTTGTGAACTGGAGGCACTGGCCCAACATCTGAATTGATTCCCTGAGGTCCCGTTCTGGTCCTAGAGCTGAAGACTTACATAAATTGCGCCTAGTTGGGTTCTGTCGTTATCAAATAACTGGTAGTAATGTTGAATGAAGCTGGATCCAATCTGCTCCCAAATTGGCTTGTCTCCCATTCTGGAGCGTCACCCGGCCTCGTTGAGACCTGCAAGTCCAGTGAGACAGGGAGAGTAGTGTTGGTACCTTGGTACCGTGGAAGCAGGAGGTAGCCAGCCAGTCTCCTCACTGACCCCCACCCCTCCCAGACCTCCTTGAGTAGGGAGTCTTTTGCTGAGGTCTGTTCTCCCAGGAAACACAGAGAGGGCCCAGGGAACTGACAGGCGATCCCTCAATACAGACCAGTGCAGGGAGCCCAGAGGTGGACCAGACCCAGACCCTCCTTTGAGGGGCTCTCGTGGATGAAACAGCAGGATGGGTGCTGAGGGTGGAGCCAGGACAAAGGAAGGTCAGAGCAAGTCCAATGGAGGGATGGGCTTTTAAGGAGGAGCTAAGCACTCTCCCCATATCTTTTCATTTAATCCTCTCAACAACCTGCAAGGCTGTTGAGAGTTATTGCTATTCTTCCCACTTTGCAGGTCGGGAACTACTGATGTCTGTATGTGGAGTGTCTTCTATTGCAGCCTTCAGGCCCACTCCTTGTCCTGCTGAGACTCAGTACTCAGTCCCTCAACACTGCCCTCCGGGCTTACTGGCAGGTGGAAGAAGACCCAGTGGGAGTGGGGGGAAATGGCTCCTCAAGGCCCCAATTGCAACAAAGACAGCGAGTGACTCCCCCCGCACACACTTTGTCTTAAGAGGGTAGTTTACGTCTTTGAGGCCAGGTGACATGATTTCGTCACTGATGGGGGTTATATCTACCCACTTCAGAGCTGGAACCATGGGTTCAGAGGATCACAGGTAATAACAGAAATGTTGGGAGGGGAAATGAAGGCTGTGAGGGGGAAATGTGTCATGTCTTCACATCCCCATCCCAGCACTCACTCCATCAGAAGGGCTGCCCCTCTCCAGTCTCTGAGGGGGGGGAGGAGAGGGAGGGGTGGGCCCCCCCCGCTACAGATATCAGGGACCCCAGGCTGCTAGACGGAAAACCCAAGCCCCAGATGAAAGAGTCGCTCACGCTTTGGCAGGCCCGGGTAGGGTGGCGTGCATCTCCCTGCAGGATCCATGACAGCAGACCTGTGTGTTGCTCTGTAGTCATCTCTGACTGTAGAGGAGCCCACCCCCTCTCTCCTAATAACAGGAACTCTGAACCAAAGCAGTAAGGAGGTGGGTTTGGCCCTGGCAGACAACCATTGGCAGTAGTGGGATCTCACGCAAGTCACTGCACTTCTTAGGGCCTCAGCCCCCTTCTCTATAAGAGGGTGGAACCCTGAGGTTGCCAGTGGTTGTGGTCTCACTAAGGGAACCTAGTAAAGCCCTCAACTCAACATGGTAAGTGCTAGTTTGCTCCAGTCCCTATGACCTCACCCAAGGCCAGAAGAACCAGAGGGAAGGACAGTGTTAGTGGGCAGTGGCTTATCCCCAATCCAGCCAATCTCCCTGCCTGTGACCAACACTCCAGCCAATGAGGGGCCAGGAAGCTGAGCCAGCTTTATTTTAGGTCCCCTAGGAGGTGGTGGCACTAAAAATAGCAGCTCAGTGCTGGGATGACTAAGAAATGTCCAGGAAAGTCTAAAACAAGCAGAGGAGAAAGCTTGGACCCGGTCACGCCTGCTTGGGACAAGGTGTGTCCCAGTTCACACTCCGCCAAGAAATACATCAACAAATGGGAAAAACATAGGATCAACAGCTGGTCCCAGCTGCTCTGTCTTGGTCACATTTCCAAGGGGTCAGACTGTGACTGTACCACATGCAAACTTGGGTTACTGGAGGCAGGACACAGCCCCACATCTCGCATCTCTGCCCCTTCCACCCTAGTATTCACTATGCTTGGCTCACTCATTGTGGCCCAACCCTACCACATCACGCTCTCAAGATGCCTTGCTGAGCATCTTGAACTCTGGGGCAGGGGGAAAGCTGGAGGAATGGATGAGGGCCATCTCCCCCTCTGTCCTAAGCAGCCCTCAGGGAAGGTCTTGGAGAAAGGAGTATGCCAGTCAGAAGAAACAACATTAGCAAATGTCTAGAGCCTCAGAAAGAGATTAGGGCAGGAAACTGAGAAGCTGGAGATGGAGGATGAGGGGAAATAAGGCCAGAAGCTGATCCAAAGAAAAAAAAAGTGGCGCTATGTGGTGGGACAGTGAGGTGAAGGAAGTGGGGGGGTGTTTTTTCCTTTTTCAACATTGTTCTTAACAGTGTGATAACATGCTAATACAAAAACTACTTGGCAGAAGTAGTGGTAGAGTAAAGAGGTGGAGGGATAAAAGGACAAGAAGACCCCTTTGGCCCGGTGGAGTGGGGCAGGGCAGAGTGAGCTCTCCTGAGGAACAGGACTGCTCAGGGGCTCCCAGAAAGTGGGAGAAGGAACCTTCAAAAGAATGTGGACTGAAGACTTTGCTTTAAAGATGTCAAATGGGGCCGCTGAGGCCAACACCAACCTCGTTCGAGGCCTTCTTGACCTTGATGTGTTTATTTCTATGTCGTGATCACATCACCATGTGGTCAGATTCCACTGTCAGCCCACTTTACAGGTGGGAAAACCAAGGTTCAGCTGGTTGCCCCAAGCTCACCCAGTACATCAGTGCTGATACTGGGTTCTCTGGTCAAGGTCACTGCTTGCTTTCTGCTAACTTTGCATCCCTGAGCTCTAAACCACAAGGCTGTCCATGTCCCTCCCCTACAAAACCCTCACCCTTGGGTTAAAGGTCAAACCCCCAAAGCCCCACAGGTGGCTATTCACACCCATCCCTGACTCCTCAGCCATTCTCTCCTATCTCCATCCAGCTCCACACATAAACACACCAGAACTCTCTGAGTGCTTGCACCCTGTGTCTTTTGCACAGGTGAGTCCTCCTGCCGTGATGCCCGCCCTCCCCTCAGGTCACTGTTCAGATGCCACACATTTGGGTCCTCCTTTCCAGACTCAACTGTTGACTCCAACCCCACGTGCAAGTGCAAAGCCGTATCAACACACCCAGGGCTCATTCCTCTGCCTAAACACAGCTCTAGGCTGTGAGGGTTCCAGTGTGGTTCTTGCCACACCCAACCCCACCCCCTCAACCTCCCAGCACAGAGTCCAGCAAACTGCAGGATTTATAGTTTCTGACTCCAAATCTTCCACAAAGCTTTGCACTCATAGCCAGGAGGCAGCATTCCTGAGTCCAGAAAAAGCAACAGGGTGCAGAGCCCACCTCCCATCCCCATGCAACATAGAGGAGAGGTGGGCCAGGCTGGGAGGATGTTCCCCAGGATGGCCAGCCAGCCCTGACCTTGTTTCTAATATATTTATTGTGGAAAGAACAGCCTGGAAAGAAACAAAATGCCAAGGCTGAGGGGCAGCCTCACATCAGATTGGAGAGTGACCTTCATGACAGCTTCTCCTACAGCTCTTCCAAGAGGGCTGCTGACCACACCGTCTCCTGCTTCACTTAGGCTGACTAAGGCCAGGCTCCTCGAGGAGCAGAAATGACCTTGATGACCTCTCACCCACTGAGCTTCAGCCTTCACTGACCCTTAGGTCTCTGTGGGTGCAAAGACGCTCTAAAAATGTCTCATAAACCATGGCCCTTTCCCAATAAATTTGCGCAGAGGCAGAGATGCCCCAGCCTTGTGAATGATTTCAAGTCATTCATACTCCCTGAGGTTGTCACAGACCCCAGGTTAAAACCTCTGGCCCAGGAGATTCCATTGGGTAACAGAAAAAACTTCATTTTTATCCTCAAATTCTGGGTCAGTGTTTCCATATTCTGAAACTTGAAACAGCAATGTCCGGCTGATAATGTCTCATTTTCACTAATGTGTATTACGCGTAGAAATGTGCTAAGGGCTTTACATGCATTTGTTCTAACACCCTGTGAGTCAACTCCCATGTTAGAGATGAGCAAAATGAGGTCCAGCAAGGTCAGCTAATTTGCTCAAGGTCACAAGCCTAATAAATGGTGGAACTGGATGGAACCAGGCTTAGTGGACTCCAGAGCCAGGACTCCCAGTGATAACTAGTCTGGAGATAAAAATGAACAACATGGGGGCTTCCCTGGTGGTGCAGTGGTTAAGAATCTGTCTGCCAATGCAGGGGACACGGGTTCGAGCTCTGGTCCGGGAAGATCCCATATGCCGTGGAGCAACTAAGCCCGTGCGCCACAACTACTGAGCCTGCATGCCACAACTACTGAAGCCCACACACCTAGAGCCCATGCTCTGCAACAAAAGAAGCCACCACAATGAAGCCTGTGCACCACAACGAGGAGTAGCCCCTGCTCGCCACGACTAGAGAAAGCCCGTGCACAGCAATGAAGACCCAACACAGCCAAAAATAAATAAAAATAAAATAAATTAATAAAAAAAAAAAAAGAACAACATGTAGGGCTGAAGCCCTGATCTCTGACCTTGGCTTTCTCGGACAGGGGCAAGACAGGTCTGAACCAGGGCTTCTGCCTCCAAACAAAGGCACCAGGCAGACTGCCACACTAAACAATGGGTGTTTTCACGGGGGATGATCTCACAGTTTTCCCAAATCTTCAAAGTCACAACCCCATTCTACCATCTCAGCAAAACAGATATAGATGCTGGCCTAGCTGGACCTGGGTCAGGGCTGGAGGCAGGAAAGTGATGAGGAAGAGGACATTACTGACTCCAGACTAATAAAACAGAAGGATGCTCACCTCTGAGGGCCCATCACCGGGGTCCGCAGAGAATGCCAGATATGCTGAGCTTATAGTGGGACCCTTGAAATTGGCACCAACCGTCTCTATTACCCTCACACCTACTGTCTGCTAGGCCTCCAAGAGCCCTGAAGCAGAGGCTGAGAAGGACTCCGACAGGTGGGACTGACAGATAACCTTGGCTTAAACCCAGAGCACAGGCGTGCACTGTGGGGAGTGAGAGGGAAGGCTGCATAGTGCCTGTCCTTCAGGAACAAACTGCACCTCTTTCCATGATCTGAGGGGTGCTGTATATCCTGTCCTACGGCCCTCCAATGACTTCCCTTCCCATTCCCCACTGACAGTCTCAACCATTTATCCTGCCTTCAAGGCCCTGGGTGACCTG